ACAGAGTTCTACCTCCTGGCTGCCATGTCCTATGACCGCTATGTAGCCATCTGCAGACCACTGCACTACCCCATCATCATGAATAACAAAGTGTGCCACATACTGGTCCTCAGCTCCTGGGTGACTGGGTTTTTATCCATCTTTCCGCCTTTGATGTTGGGACTCAAACTGGATTTCTGTGCTTCCAAACTGATAGACCACTTCCTGTGTGACACTTCTCCTGTCCTGCAGCTGTCTTGCACAGACACACGTTTCATAGAATGGATTGCATTTGTTGTAGCTATAATGACACTTATCATCACCTTGATCTTAGTGATTCTGTCCTATATGCTCATCATCAAAACCATCCTAAAGTTCCCTTCAGCTCAACAGCGGAAAAAGGCCTTTTCCACCTGCTCCTCACACATGGTTGTTGTCTCCATTACTTATGGGAGTTGTATCTTCATGTACATGAAAACATCAGCCAAGGAGAGGGTAGCTTTAAATAAAGGTGTAAGTGTGCTCAACACTTCTGTGGCGCCTTTGCTGAACCCTTTCATTTACACTCTAAGGAATCAACAGGTGAAGGATGCCTTCAGGCAGGTGCTTCATAGATTCTGTTATTCTCAAAACAGTGAATTAAGATTTAGACTTAAATAGCATGCTGTTAGGAAATGACTGAAAAAAATAAAAATTAATGTCATATATATCCATGATGGCCTATGCTATTTCTCTCCTTTACTGCTTAGATCATAATAAGTATTCTAATTGTCCTAGGTTTATCTCTCAGAATTGATCTTCTGAATCACTAGGAGCAAAATGCCTCTTCAGTTCATAATGTGAAATTCTACCTTTGCTCAGAAATCTCTCCTCTTGTGATAGGTTTATTTACTAAATGTACTGTATAAGTAAATGCAGTTAGACAATCTGAATTAGTTCTATGTCCATAATTAATTGCAAAGCATTTTATTTGTAGTTTAATATTTTGCATTGTTAAAAATAGAGACTAGCAGAGAGCATGAAATGAATCTATAATGTGATGGACTTTGTCATAGAATAGCCCTAGGAAATCAGAGTTGATCTGAACATTAAATTCATCTTATAGAAGGAAGCATCCACATGATGAAGCTTGTGATATGAATAAAGAAAATAAACATTGAAGGGTACTGTGATGAGATGTATGCAGCATGCAAAGGAATAAGGTGTTTCTTCTCTACATTTATAGTCATTCAGAATTAGTTGTCATCATTATTTGATCATTTGTTCAGTACTATCATAGCAAAAATAATACAGCTTAGTTTTCAGAGAAAATTAAATATATTTATTTCAGAGCCAAACTTTAGTGGTTGTGGCCTAGAAACAGATTTATGTTACTTATAGTTCTATATTTCTATTGAAAACAGTCTTATGAAGTTTTTTCTTTTAGTAACAAATCAAAGTAAGCCACAAATCAAGATATTTCTTAAATAAACTGGTGGAAGCATCTGGAAATTGGATTACAGAAAGGTGAAGAATCTTTCCTATAGGCTTCAGATGTTACCTGACGATAGGCCTAGCTTTAACATTTCTATAACTAGAAGCAATTGTTCTCTTAATAGATTCCAAAGCATTTTTCTACTGTTCTTGGATTTTTAAATTTCTCTTATTCTTTTATTTAAAATAGATATTTTCACATATAATACACGCTGATTAGTTTTCCCTCTGCTCCTCTTAGTTCCTACCTATCTCTCTGCTATTCTGATGTGCCCTGATTATGTCTCTCATTAGAAAACAAACAGGCTTCGAAGGGATGATAATAAAATATAATAAGATAAAACCAAAACTAGCCAATTGGAATATGACAAAACAAGCAGAAGAAAAAAAGTCCAAGGAAAGGTATAAGAAACAGATACAGATGCAGAGACCTACTTGTTCAAACACACAGGAAATCCATATAAACATTAAACTGAAAGCCATATATAAGTCAATTTTTTTCTATTAGTCACAGGATTTCTGATACAGGAGTTGGCAAGGAATGTTGTTCATGTGGCTAAGCTAGCACAGGTAAGGGAGTTAGCATCTATACCCTCGGTATTCCAGTCTCCTTGTGGCACTGAATTTCTAATCAATCTACTCTCCCTTAGCCACACAGCTTCTTTCCAGAAATTCTTATTGACAGTAAAAATAATTTGACTCCACACTTTGATGCTAAATATTCTTTATTTCTTCAAAGAAGAAATGAAAATAATTTATGAACTATAGTAAACTCATAATATTTTATACCACTGATTGAAGAAATTTTATTTGTAAATTGAAATTTTCTAAGCAATTCAGCTTCAGTCACTTTTCATCAAATTAATGATGTAGCTCTCATACAAAATAGTGCACAATTATATTAATATAAATACATTGGACAAATATTAATGCAAATGGAACTATAAGAGTCATAATAGCAACTATTCTCCTTAATCTTTTTCTTCTATCATTATAATTTTTAAATTACATATGCAAAATTAATAGCATTTATTATGGCATATTTATGATATATATGTGTAACTATAGTTTTTCTTAATCTCAACGCTGCTCACCCATGCCTTTCCCAGTCTCTCTCATCTTCACAAATAGACAGTCTCCTCTCTTAATTAGGGTTTCTGTTGCTTTGATAGAAACACCATAAAGCAAATTGGGGGTTAAGTAGTTATTTCTGTTGTACTTCCACAGCACTCTTCCTCACTGAAAGAAGTCAAGAACAGAAACTCAAACAAGGCAGGGTTCTGGAGACATGGGTTGATGCAGAAGCCATGGAAGATTTCTGCTTCCTGGTCTCACATGGCTTGCTTAGCCTGTTTTCTTATAGAACCCAGGACCACCAACCCAGGAATGGCACTAGCCACAATGGGCTAGATATTCCCTGACTGATCACTAGTCAAGAAAATGCTTTAGAGCTGGATCTCATGGAGGCATTTCCTCAACTGAAGCTCCTCCCTTTATGACGACTCTAGCTTGAGTGTACTTGGCACACAAAACCAGCCAGTACAACTGACCCCTTGTCAGCTTAACACACAAACACATAACTATTAAGCTACAGTGCTTTGTTTATTATTCAGGCCAAAGTTCTCACATTGAAAACATACATAACTTTAAAAGGCATTAAAATTCCAGTCCCTTTATAAATGCAATAATTTTAAAATTCAAAGTCTTGTACAATTTAAAACATCTTAACTATGGGTTAAGTAATACTTCTTACTTCAAGAGGCAAAACTCATGGCACACTCACAATCAAAACAAAGCAAAACCAAAATCCAAAAATTCCAATGTCTTGGACCCACTCAGGAACTTCTAGACTCCTCCAAAGGCTTAGGTCACCCACTTCTCCAACACACAGAGCTTGTTTTCCAAGGTTCGATTCCACTTCTGTTACTCTTGGTGATTTTCCCATAGTACTGGCATCTCCAAAACTCTGGGGTCTTCTATTTGAACTGGGTTGCACTTTGACCAATAGCCTTTCATAGGCTCTCTTCATGGTGCCAAGCCCAGATATCACTTTCAAACATGGCTTCCTTCTACAAGATAAATTTACCTTCATTGTTTGGGAATTAATTTGTGTACTAATAGTGTGTCTGTATTCCAGCCAGATCATAGTAATTCCGGGCATGTCTGCATTCTGGCTGGATCATACCTTTATATATCATCACTTTCCAGAGCAGCCTGTGGATGGATTAAAATTCTTCTACAGACTATTCAGGCCCAGCTGACCATACTGACAGAACCTTAATTCAAAATAGCAAATGGTCCTGATAGAGTCTTTAAATTTACCTCTGAAATTTCACACACCAGGCCTCATCTCCTGCACTGCTCTCAAAACTCTTATCTTCCAAGATCCTAAAGAACATTCCACTTAGCACTCAATATTCAGTGGACTTTCTAGCCCAAAGTTCCAAAGTCCTTCCACAATCCTCCCAAAAACATGGTCAGAACTGTCATAACAATACCCCACTACACCAGTTCCAATTTGTTTTAGAGTTTTTTATTACTGCAATGAAAAAATCAAGCTGGGAGGAAGGTTTATTTGTCTTACACTTCCATAGCACTGTTTGTAATGAGGAAAGTCAAGATAGGACCTCAAACAGAACAGGATCTTGGAGGTAAGAGCTGATGCAGACGCCATAGAGGGGTACTACTCACTGACTTGCTTCACATGCCTTGCTCAGCCTGCTTTCTTATAGAACCCAGGACCACCAGCCCAGCAATGGCACCACTCACAGTGAGCTAGGCCCTCCCTCACTGATCACTAATTGAGAAAATGCTTTACAGCTGAATCTCATGGAGGCATTTCCTCAACTGAGGTTTCCTCTCTTCTGATGACTCCAGTTTGAGTTAAATTGTCACACACACACACACACACACACACACACACACACACACACACATAAACAAACAAACACAAAACCAGCCAGTATATCCCCTTTTGTTTTCTTTATTACTCTTTTTTTTTCCTACCTTAAGGTCTCTACATCATCTCTCCAGTCACTGCCCCAATACCTCCCATGTCTTTTAGTAATTAAATGAAGTATCCACAGTTTGTATTTCAGTCACTGTAGATACTCTTGTTCCTTATGAAAATTTAATTGAAAGAAAATACTCAATTTGCATGTTATATATAGAGTTTATGAGCTCACATAAAAATTTAAGGTCTCCTGATGAGGTCCAGGAGTCACCCCACAAACCATACATATACCAATCTCAGTCAGAACTGATCCATCAGGCCCACAGACCAGACTCAAGAGCTGACTGTGACCACAAATGTTTCCCAGGGACAGTTTATAAAGGCAAAAACCACAGTAAGCTCATGTGCAGGTCCAAGAAGTGCTGTCCAGTGGTCAGCTCTGACTCAAACTATTTCAGCTAGGTAGACAGAACAGTTCTAATTGACCTTTAGTTTGATTGACCCTAAGTGGAGCTTATGGTTCTGGAATTTCTTAGGATTAACAAACCTCAGAAAATAACAGGGTATGTGGTTTACCTGACCTTGCTGTGAGATAAGCAATATCTCTGTGTCAGTAGCAATATGAAATTATTGGCAGGTAGGGAACAAAATGGCTACAGCTAAGTTGGAGGAGCAGGCTTTGACACCTCCCATGCTATACCTGAGTCCATGTGCTGATTTGATGTGTCAGCCTGTCTGTTGCACCTCTTTATTTAACAGATCTCATTCCCTTTTGGCACTGTGTTGCTATTTTTCTTCTTTCAGAAAAATACAATAATGAATGTTACCTCAATACATGTAGAAAATAGATATAGTACCGTGCCAACTCTTTTAAGCTTTATCTTTCCAGAATGTACCTTTGCAGGGGTGTGGCTTGACTGTCTACCAAACAGGGTTTCACCCAATTCTCCTCCAAAGTTTTAGAAATAATCCTTAGAAGGAAACAGAACTCACGGAAATGAAGGGGACCCTATAGGTGGTCATGGCAGGCAGGGAAGCCAACTGAAGAGATGAGAATGAAAACTCATTTCAGATTGTACTAGCCTAAGGGCCTAAGGAAGTGTTTCAGTAATACAGATAATATAGAGGTCACTTGGGCGGTTAAATATCTCCAATAAGGTTATAGAGCTTTGGGGAAGCCTCAGGATATACAGATAATTTGAGAATCCTTTAGACTATTATGTTTTTCAATTCC